TTGATATTCGAATAGAACAGAAAATTACTCTCATACAATTCCCACTATATAAATCTCTATCTCTGATATTACAAACCATGAGCACACGCACATTATTTTGTTCATATGCAACGTATGAATGTGCGGCCAACTTCTTTGCACACAAAGGGGAGAGACGAAATAAAATAGAAATGTTCTGTGATTTGAGCTGCAAATATATGAGCACACCTAACAAGTGTAGCAGCTTACAGAAGCAAATTGATTGAGTTTTCATAGACAATTATATTTAATTGTTTTTGCTAAAACTTTAAAAATATATATTTATATGGAAATGTAATAAATAATAATAATTCTTGATGTGAAGATACTTAATAAATTTATATACCTATGTTATTTAACATTTTGCAAATTATATTAGGGTGTTCACCGCACACCTCCGCACCTTAGAGCAGTCGTCACTGATAACACTGCATGTTTTTCAGCCGGAGCTACATAATTTTAATGCGCAAGATGGAATTTCAGAACAGTGGTATAATTTCAACATAGCATGAATTTTGCCGGAGCTATACATATAATTTCAAAGCACAAGATGGAATTTCAAAACCGTAGGGTATGTTTAACACAACCTGGTTTTCAGCCGGATCTATATACCTAACTTCAAAGCACAAGATGTAATTTCAAAACAGATGTATATGTTTAACACAGCTTGTGTTTCAGCCGGAGCTATATAATTTCAAAACACAAGACGGAATTTCGAACCAATAGTATATGTTTAGCACAGCATGGATTTCAGCCGGAGCTATATAATTCCAAAGCACTAGATGTAATTTCAGAACTGTACTATATTTTCAACACATCATGGTTTACAGCCGGAGCTATATAATTTCAAAACACAATATGTAATTTCAGAACAGTAGTTCATTTTCAACACAGCATTGTTTTCAGCCAGAGCTACATAATTTCAAAGCACAAGATGTAATTTCAGAACAGTAGTATATTTTCTACACAGCCTGTTTTCAGACGGAGCTATATAATTTCAAAACACAATATGTAATTTCAGAACAGTAGTTCATTTTCAACACAGCATTGTTTTCAGCCAGAGCTATATAATTTCAAAGCACAAGATGTAATTTCAAAACAGTAGTATATTTTCTACACAGCCTGTTTTCAGACGGAGCTATATAATTTCAAAGCACAAGATGTAATTTCAAAACAGTGAATATGTATAACACTGCATATTTTTGAGCCGGAGCTACATAATTTTAATGCCCAAGATGGAATTTCAGAACAGTGGTATATTTTCAACACAGCATGAATTTTGCCGGAGCTATATAATTTCAAAGCACAAGATGGAATTTCAAAACAGATGTATATGTTTAACACAGCTTGTGTTTCAGCCAGAGCTATATAATTTCAAAACACAAGACGGAATTTCGAACCAATAGTATATGTTTAGCACAGCATGGATTTCAGCCGGAGCTATATAATTCCAAAGCACTAGATGTAATTTCAGAACTGTACTATATTTTCAACACATCATGGTTTACAGCCGGAGCTATATAATTTCAAAACACAATATGTAATTGCAGAACAGTAGTTCATTTTCAACACAGCATTGTTTTCAGACGGAGCTATATAATTTCAACGTACAAGATGTGATTTCAAACCAGTATTATATGTATAGCATTGCATGGATTTCAGCCGGAGCTACATAACTTCAATGCGCAAGAAAGAATTTCAGAACAGTGGTATATTTTCAACACATCGTGGATTTCAGACGGAACTATATAATTTCAAAGCATGAGATGGAATTTCAAAACAGTAGTATATTTTCTACTTAGCACGGTTTTTCGCCGGATCTATATAATTTCAATGCAGAAGATGGAATTTCAAAACAGTGAAATATATTTAACACAGCATTATTTTCACCCAGAACTATATAATTTCAAAGCTCAAGATATAATTTCAAAACAGTAGTATATGTTTAACACAGCATGGATTTCAGCCGGAGCTATGTAATTCCACAGCACGAGATGGAATTTCAAAACAGTAGTATATTTTCTACACAGCAGGGTTTACAGCCGGAGCTATATAATTTCAAAGCACAAGATGTAACTTCATCACGGTAGCAATTTTCTACACTGCCTGTTTTCAGCCGGAACTGTATAATTTCAAAGCACGAAATGGAATATTAAAACAGATGTATATGTTTAACACAGCATGGATTTCAGCCGGAGCTATATAATTGCAAAGCACAAGATGTAATTTCAGAACAGTGGCATATTTTCACCACAGCATGGCTTTCAGGCGGAGCTATATAATTTCAAAGCACAAGATGTAACTTCATAGCGGTAGTATATTTTCTACACTGCCTGTTTTCAGCCGGAGCTATATAATTTCAAAGCACGAAATTGAATTTTAAAACAGTAGTATATGTTTAACACAACCTGGTTTTCAGTCGGATCTATATACCTAACTTCAAAGCACAAAATGTAATTTCAAAACAGATGTATATGTTTAACACAGCTTGTGTTTCAGCCGGAGCTATATAATTTCAAAGCACAAGATGGAATCTCAAAACAGTACTACATTTTCTACACAGCGTGAATTTTGCCGGAGCTATATAATTTCAAAGCACAAGATGGAATTTCAAAACAGTAGTATATGTTTAACACAGCATGGTTGTAAGCTGGAGCTACATAATTTCAAAGTACAAGATGTAATTTCAAGACAGTAGCATATTTTCTACACTGCCTGGATTTCAGCCGTAGCTATAAAATTCCAAAGCACAAGATGGAATTTCAAAACAGTAGTATATTTTCTACACAGCCCGTTTTCAGCCAGAGCTATATAATTTCAAAGCAAAAGATGTAATTT